TAGGGGAGGGGTCGGTGCTGGGATGCCCAAATTGGGCAGAAAAAAAAAGTTGCCTGCCCCTTTAAGGGCGGCCATTTTTAACTCTGTTGTTCTCTGCGGCACACCTCCGACTGCCTTGCAGCACACCAGTGTTCCCTGGAACACAGTTTAAGAAACACTGGTCTATAAGGTGCCAACAGGACTCCTCAATGTTTTAAATGTAAGTAATGCACATTGGAACACAATCTCAATCATACATATAAAATGATGGGGTCTAAATTAGTTGTTACTGCTCAAGAAAAAGCTCTTGGAGTTATTGTGGCTAGTTCTCTGAAAACGTGCAGCAGCAGTCAAAATGGTCTGGAATCACTTAGCAATGAGATACCACAATGCAGTGTTTCTCAAGTTGTGCTCCGTGGAGCCATCTCCAGGGGCTCCGCGAGGCTGACAAACTGGAAACATCGATAGGTACAACACATACAATCAATGGACCTCAGGGGCTCCGCATACATTTTTATGCATGTAAAGGGCTCCGGAGCCCAAAAAGTTTGAGAACCGCTGCCACAACGTATACATTCAACACATTGCTTAAATGAGTTTAAAAAACAATACAAGGGTAAACTCGTTGATTTTCAAAAACAGTCAGGACCATTTTCAAGACTCTTCTTATCCCAAACTCAGCAATCATTGAAGTCTTCATTGAAAGCTGCTGCCAAGTTTTTGGTGGTTTTTTTGCTACTCAAAAACAGATTAAACAAAAATATTTTAAACGCAAAAGTATATGTATTTGTTCAGGTTCACAGACCTCAAAACTAGCTGAACTAGATTTGGTTCAAATTATATTAACCAAAAAATAAAAAGTTATCTTGAAACAGATACCATTTAGGATAAATTTCCATCGCAGAAGATTGCTCCGGGGGAGGGAGGGGCAAGAGGGGCTGGGATGCCCATCTTGGGGAGAAGGGAGATCGTGGCATGGGGGTGGCATGGTACTTGACAAGCTGCTCTGGCAGGACTGTAGTGGGTGGTTGCCATGGTTCCTGGGCCTTGTGCAGGTGGAGATGCTGCGAGCCTGCAGCGATCCCCAGCTAGTCCAGCTCTATGGCTTTGAGGGAAAGGTTGCTCTGGAGCTCTGGTGATTTCCCTTGCATCTGGAAGCTCCAGACTGCTTGGGTCTGCTACACTGTGCAGGGGAAGGAGCCCTATTCTAGGGCCCTGAGTGGTAGGGCCTCTTGGCTGAGACCCCACACGCTCACCACAGCTGCCTGGCTTTAGTCCTGATGGGACATAAGGCACTGGCTCCCAGAAAACAAGGCAAGAGAAGAAGGAACAGAACTGAAGATGGACTTGAACCTGGATCCAGATCCAAACTGACCAAATGGCTCCTATCTTTATAATAGGCTGGTCCAAACCTCAAGCCCAAAGACCCCCAAAATTGTGATTTTGAATCTGTCTTGGCACATCACAGAGACAGCCCTGTCTGAGCAAACAGCCAACATGCCGCGGAGGAAAAGTGCCAAGAACAGGAAGGTGATGGAATCTCCTTCTCCTCCCTAGCACCAACCTCTGTCCTAGTGCCACTGATTCTATGTTCTCCATTCAAATGCAGTGACAGGAGCTAGTTTATTACCATTGGCAGCTCCAGCTCTCACTCTTGTTGCTCCTTCCTCCCCCATCCACACTTTCTTAGCCCTCTCCTTTGATTTGGGGGATATCGATACATGTTTTCTGCCACGGCGGCGCCTGTGACTAGTTTGTTAACTATGAGGACTCCTGAATGAATAACTCTCAGGCAGGTAATTTACCATCAGATCAGAGAGGGATAAAGGGAAACCAATATAAGTAGTCAGTAATAAAACTGTTTACTGACACGGGGGGGGGGTTCTTTTAATGAGATTTGTATGCAGGGGAGTGTGCCTCTGATAAGCTCTCCAGCTTACAATTATTGACTCTTGTCCAGGAGAGCCACAAAGCAGGGGGAGACTATCTTCATAAAGCCCCTGATCCCATTAATAGGGAAGGGAGCTGTAACCAAGTTCAGAAGGAACTGGGGCGCAAGTCAGCATTATTAGTGCTGATTCGTGAGCAGCCCTCGTGTTGCTCGGACCGGAATTCTTTTCAAGGGACGTGATGCTGCAGCACAGTGACGAGACCACTCAACTCCCAGAAATCGCGAGTGCCCAGCGTCTTGCAGGAGTGAGCCCAAAATGCAGTCCTGCATGCACAGAAAACACTGAAGAGGTGCTACTGGTGATTTTCCTGTATGCTTCTGGAGTTATGTAGCCTAGGCCCCAGGCAGCGACAGAGCTCCGTGGCCTGCGTACTACACCTTCCATCTGAAATAAGCAGGACTAGACTTATTTTACTAATAGGGAAACTGAGGCACAGAGAGAGGTTTTTTTTTGGCCTGATCCTTAGAGGTGATAAGTATCAGAAGCTTTTGCTGAATTTTGGTGTGTGTGTGTGTGTTTCAGTATTCCTGTAAGCTTGGTGCTTGTTCAGCCATTCAAGGGAGATTCCAAAGCTACCCATCTGATTAACAGAGCACCCACACCTAGGCTATGTCTACACTGGTGGCTTCTTGCACAAGAACATCTTGCACAAGAACACCCCCTCCCCAACTGCCAGTTCTCCACATTCATGTATGCTAGGATGCACCAGCATAAGCTCAGTTCCCCTGTCTGCTCTGAAATCCATCGAGTTATGTAGGACAGCTCTGCTCTCACTGGGGTAAATTCACCCTGGGCAGAGAGCCAGCGCTGGCTTCTGCACGGCTAAATCCTAGATTGCTTCCGGACAGCCTCCAAGTTGTAGAAGCTAGCAAGGCTAGGAAGAGATTTTCCTGTGGGGCTGACTATCTCACCTGTCTGACTGCATCTTTCCTCAGAAGCGTCTGCTGCTGGGCACTGGATCCTGGGCTAACTGGAGCAGCCAGACTGGCAATCTCGGCATTTTTTGTAAATGCCATCTCCGGATGGTAGTTTTTATTGCTGCTGTTATCACGTGGAAGGGGCAGGAAGTGTGACAGTCGTATCAGTGACAAGTCTTGTGGGTCTCTGATGACAGTGCTTTAGCACAGTGGCTCCCAACCTGTAGCCAGGGGTCTGTGAGGGCACTGTAGGAGATCCGCGGAAAGTTTTTAAAAGTAAGGATCGGGCCCATCATGGTGGGCCCGATCCTTGCTTTTCTTTTCCTTTTCTCCCCCCACCCTTGGAGCGCAGCAGGGGAGCAGCAGTCATGCGTGCCGGAATGCGGCTTGCTTTTGATCCCGTTCTCTGGAAGCGAAGGGAGCGTGGGGAAGGTGCTTGCATGCTGTGCATGCCTCATGCACCAGCCCTTGTAGTTCTGCCCTTGCTCCCTACCTTCCCGAAATTCCAGCTTTGTGGAGCTGGCAGCTCCAGAGCTCCCTTTGGCCACGAGAGCCCCCTCGCTTCGTGGCTGGGCAGGGGATGGAAGGGACAGGAGCTGAAGAAGCAGCGCAGGCGAACAGCAGCCAATGCCCGGAGAAGCTTCGTGCCCTGCACTCCGCACACCTC